CAAGTTTGAAGACCCCTGCCTTAACTAGTCAAGAGGATCATGGGTCCCAAGCACAAGTGGCAAACTCATAACAGCAAGCACTCTGTCTATTTCCTCAGGATCAACTGGTTGAAACTCTTCCCAGACAACAGAACAAAGGTGCAAATGTGCGTCTTCTATAAGACCTCTTTATTAGACTGGCTCATTAACTAGTCTAAGCTGTTAAAAACTTTTGGAACAGCAAGTCTAAAAACCCAGATGAGTTTGCCTTCAGTGCAGAATGAAAGGAAATTTTAATTGTAAGTTTAAGAATGAAAAGAATTTGAAATAAGCAGCAAAAAAAGTTTAATAAGATTTTGATCTTAGCATGAGAATAGTTCCTAAAGTAAAGAAGCAAGACTATTTTTCTCTGAATGCAAAAAATACAGGATTGAAAAGCATCACTTGGTTATTATTTTAGTGTAGCTGTGTCTCCTTGTTTCATACTCATAATGTCAATTACTCCATGGAGTTTATTTTCTCCCGTTTCCTTTTTTCAGCAGTTATTTTCTGAAGATTCTACAGCCATACAATTTTTATAATATGTAATAGCAACAACATTTAACTGATATACCACTTCATAGTGCTTTACAGCCCTCTCTAAGCAGTTTACAGAGACAACATATTGCCCCTAACAATCTGTGTCCTCATTTTACCTATCTTGGAAGGATGGAAGGCTGAGTCAGCTTTGAGCCAGTCAGAATCAAACTCTTGGCAGTGAGCAGTGAGTTTGCCTGCAATACTGCATTCTAACCATTGTGCCACCATGGCTCAGTCAGTAATGGTCAATTCTGTCTATTTAAATGCTTTTAAATAGTTTTCTAAGATTTTAACTCTCTGAATTATCTCAATGTATCTGATTTTACTTCTTGTAGCACTTGTCAAGTCAGATGAGTTATTCCTGCATGACAAACTGATGTGGTTTATAAATAAAGGCAAGGGAAGGGCTGGTGTCACATGGTAAATTTATTATAATAAAATTTTCATTCAGAAGATGAAGTATGCATATTTGTTTCATTAATATAAAGACTGTGAGAAAGAATTGGTTCACTATTTATCCATAATTAGGTTTCCGCATATCAGCCCTCCTAAATGGATACCCTCCAATTATTTGGATTACAGCTTTATGATTGCTAGCCATTATGTCCTACATTTCTAGAGGTTACTTGGTTGAGAAGGTTGCATTTTACAATTATTCTGCCTACATAACTAGATTTGATACCTAGAAGTTGAAGTGTGAATTATTTGCAGAACTTTATGAGTAAAATATAACAGAATTTCTGCCTGCGGTGTTGTGTAAAAGATCATTCATGAAAGCAAATTGTGTCTTGCAGATAAGGATGTAATCATGAAGACCATTTGTGCATATGAATAAACCAAAATTAATATAATAGATAGAGATTGGGAAATCAGATTCAGTGGATAACATCTTAACTTAAAACACTTAAGTAGATGAATAATTCAGTGTAATTTTTATAAAACAGAAGTCAAAATTTGGTTTTTTAAAACAGTATTTTATTTCTCTTTCCAAGAGAAGTATATACATAATATTAAAAATATAGTGTAGTACCAGCATTAATAATAATTATTTTCCAAGTAAAAATGCTTGGAAAATGCTATCAAAATCACTTTTCTCCTAACTCTTCCTTCTTTGGTCCTTTGTCACAAGGAGTGAAGGAGGAAGGGAGAACTAATTCAATTGACATTGAATATACCCAATGCCATAACTTGTACATAGTAATAAAAATTTTAAGAAGCGAAGTACAAAATCCAGGTTCAATGCATTGCTTATTTTCATAGAAAGAGCATGTTCTTGTAGAAATTGATTTTCTGTCTCAGTTTCTTGGAATCATCACTTTCTAAAAGATTCCAAAATATTAATCTAAGGCTGCAGGAGAGATCGAAGACTACTGTTTTCAACCCCATCCCCTAGATTTCTGTTGAATCCTATACGTTGATGTTAAAGGACCAATCCTTTTCTATATCTAGCAGGAAGAGGTGCAAGGTAATATTTACTGTATGTGACAAAGAGCTATGTCTCACTCATGGGATGAATGAGAGATGCAGACAAATAAACTATATTCGCAACAATTTATCTTCAGCATTTTTGATTATACAAGAAAAACACTCTAAAATATTCCTGATTTATTTTTTTAAAGGACAATAATTATGCCCTCGGCACGTATCTTAACATAATTTGAATCAAGAAGAAGGAGTAATAATCATGCATGTTCATGCACAATTTACAGATTTAATAAACAATGTCAATTCAAGGAAAATGTTGTGGGAAAATTTTAAAAACTCGAACCCATCTCAAAAATCCATGGTTTCATATTTAAAAAAAGAGAAGATAATAGATTTTGCCTACTTTGAATCAGGACAAACAATAAATCAATTAAATATCTGATATAATTAGAAGCTTAATAGCCTACATAAAGCCACCCTGTGTTGAGTACACAAAACATGGAAGAACAGACTGTAATCAGTAGGCAAAAGTAACTGTTAAATTTTGCTACATTTAACAAAGAAAGAAATCTCTTATCAAAATGTGTATTTAAGTTCCTTGTCTAGTTTGGATAATATTAAACCTAAATAAATAGGGATTTGTTTCATTGTACAGCTGCAATAAAATGGGAGAGTAAAGGCAAAACAATTTTTGAACCAATTATTTATTTGTTTGATTTGTCAATCGCTTACAAGATAATAGGTATAAGTATAAACATAGTTATGAATACATGAAATGGATACATATAAAAAAAATAAAAAGAAACAATAGGACAGGGATGGTAGGCACGTTGGTGCGCTTATGCACACCCCCTACAGACCTCTTAGGAAAGGGGTGAGGTCAATAGTAGACAGTCTAAGATTAAAGTTTTGGGGGTTTGGGGAAGAAACCACAGAATGAGGTAGAGTATTCCAGACATTGACCACTCTGTTGCTGAAGTCGTATTTCCTGCAATCAAGTTTGGTGTGGTTAACCTTGAGTTTGTATCTATTGTGTGCTCTTGTGATGTTATGGTTGAAGCTGAAGTATTCATTGACAGGTAGGACATTGCAATGTATGATTTTATATACCATACTTAGATCAGACCGAAGATGGTGTAATTCAAGGTTTTCTAGGTCTAGAATTTCAAGTCTGGTGGCATAAGGTATTCTACAACGAGTAGAGGAGTGCAGAACTCTTTTTGTGAAATATTTCTGGACTTTCTCAACTGTGTTAATATCAGGTATGTAATGTGGGTTCCAGACTGATGAGCTGTATTCAAGTATTGGTCTAGCAAATGTTTTGTATGCTCTAGTTAGTGGTGTAATATTACCAGAGAAAAAGCTACATAATATTAGGTTAACAACTCTTAAAGCTTTTTTGGCTATGTAGTTACAGTGGGCTCTAGCACTTAGATCATTAGAGATGAGTACTCCAAGATCCTTGACAGAGTTTGGATCATCAACAAGGTCTTGACTATTCAGCTTGTATTTTATTTTCTGATATTTTTTTTTGCCAATATGTAAGACAGAGCATTTATTTTTTGAGATTTGAAATTGCCATTTGATTGAGCATTCTGATACATAGTTGAGGTCTTTTTGAAGGGTAGCAGTATTTTCTGTGGTGTTGAATAGCTTCACATCATCAGCGAAGAGAACGCAGTTGCTCTTAATATGATCACAGATGTCATTTATGTAGAGTATAAAGAGAGTTGGTCGTAGAACACTGCCTTGGGGGACACCACTGTTGACAGGTACAGAATTTGATAGGTTGCTCCCAATTTTGACCATTTGTTGTCTGTTTGACAGGAATACTTCTATCCAGTTATGCAGGTGTCCAGAGATACCGTAAGATTTTAGTTTTAGGAGTAGTTTGTCATGTACCACTGAATCAAAGGCTTTACAGAAGTTTATGTAGATTTCATCTGTTGCTTTGCCCTGATCGATTTGTGTAGTCCATATGTTTTTGCAGTGTAAGAGTTGCAGATTACAGGATAGTTTTTTTTCTGAAACCAAATTGTTTATTAGAGAGTAGGTTGTTTGTCTCTAAGTGGAGGATAATGGATTGGTTAATAATTGATTCCATGACTTTACAGGTGATGCAGCATAAAGAGATTGGTCTGTAATTTTCAACTAGGCTGAAGTCTCCCTTTTTGAAGATGAGGATGACCGTGGCTTGTGACCATAGGTTTGGCAAGGAGCTGGTCCTGAAAGATTTTTCAGAGATTATGTTTAGAGGTTCAGCTATGGCAGTGGATAGCTTTTTTAAGAAGTAGGCACATATTCCATCCGGTCCAATAGATAGAGATGGTTTTAGATTGCGTAGTGCTTTTTCAACATTGTCTTCTGTAAAATCGATATGTATTAGATCATTGTAGTTGTTTGTGGTTCAACTAGGAAATACTGGGCTTGATCCATTGCTGTTTACAAATACTGAGCCAAAGAATGTGTTAAAGAGGTTGGCTTTGATGGTGTCATCATTGCAGTCTTTACCATTAGGTCCTTTCAGGGGTGGGATGGACCTTGAGTCTTTTAGTTTGTTGTTTAAAAAAATTGTGGAAAACATGGGTGGAATTGGTGCGTAGAAGGTTTTCCTCTTGTTTAATGTGATAATTGGTGCCTTCAGTCTTTATCTGGTGGCATAAATTTTTGTATCGGCTTTTGAAGTTGGCAACGTGACCAGATTTGTTTTTCCGCCAAAGTGATCTCTTTTTGGGCCAATTCTAGTAATAATTTCTTGGAATGAAAGACATAATATTATTATCTGTGATTAGCTCACTTACATTTATAAAATGGGACAATAGTTTTGGGGATGTAACACAGCTTCTCTGAGATACCCTCAGTTTGTATGACAGGCGTTCAATTTGTAGAATTCTCTTTTTGCAACAGAGACTTCTCTTTAGTTGCTGCAATGTTCCAGTTGGCAATACCAGAATTTCCATTTGAAATGCTTCTGTCTCTTTCTCTTGTTGATGCCAGAGAGTTGAGTCAGATGACAAGAACATAAGGCAATAACTGTAAAGTGCTGCAAATAATTATACGAGACAATTAAAGCCAATGTGTAATGTTCATACGGCTTTCAGCCTTACCCTGAGCATCTTGTAGTTTGCCAAACCCACCCAAATACTTATATCATACACACGATAGCAATATAATAATACACACAATATCTAAGAGGCTAAATGTCTGTGGAAATTCCCAGTCATCCAGGTCATGCTTGTCCTGAACATGGTTTTTCAAATGGCAGGTGGTCTTTCTTTGTTTTTCCTTGACGACGTTTCGCTTCCCATCCAAGAAGTTTCTTCAGTTCTTGAGAATGGTGGAGAATGGAAGGATTTATATTTCTTACAGAATCTGGTCGATAGCACTCTTTCTGAGAGTTGTAAGGGTCACTTGGAAGTTTAACAGCACTTCCAAGAAGGTTCCACACCCATTAGCATTTTTCAGGTGACCCTGAGGACAGAGATAAAATCTCCAAGTGGCCTCAATGACTCTGAGAATAGTGCTATCAACCAGATGACTTTAAGGATTATAAATCCTTCCATTCTTCACCATTCAATTAGAACTGAAGAAGTTTCTTGGATGAGAAATGAAACATTTTCAAGAAAAAAGAAAGTTCAGTTGCCTTTTCAAAAAGCAGCTTTGGGACATCTAAGGGCTGTCCCAAAGAAGTGCAGAGCCAGGGTCATTCTATTCTCCAAAGCATTTTAAGATAGGACAAGAAGTAACAGATGAAACCTTATTGAGGAGAGATCACAACTGGCCTTCAGAAGTTGTAGGTGTTCCATCACTAGAGGCTATTAAGAAGAGATTGGACAGCCATTTGTCAGAAATGGGGTCTCCTACTTGAGCAGAAGGTTGGACTGGAAGACCTCCAACTCTGTTATTCTGTACTTCACAATGAGAATCAGCCATATTCTTTTTTTCTAGAAATGAAAGTTGAAGAGATAGAAGGTGAAGATACTTTGGATTCTATGTGCCTTGTTAACAGCATTAAGACCTCTGATCTTTGTGATGAAGTTGAAGATGAAGACATTCTCCCTTATATCGAACAGTTTGAGAAAGAGGTTCACAATGAAGTTATTCTTCTGGGCAACCTTCCATGCAAACAGGTCAGAATGGAGTATCGACAGTCTAACTCATGACTTCATAACTAGTTTTACTTTTTACACATCTGACACATAGCCAAAGTGATGTCACAGTCTCTTCCACTTGACATTTTAACAATTGGGCTCCAGAATCACCCTGCAGTCCCTGATAGCCTTTGAGTATGACTACCAAACCCTTCAAAAAGTTTCCACCAGTTTACAGTGTAATCTTTTAAGGAGTGGAAAGAGGAAATTGTGAAATAAATGGAGATTGTTTATATTAATGTTATTATTTTAATCAAATATCTGTATCGTAATCTTACCTGCTTCTTTGTCATGGTGTTTCCTGAACCTTGGAAATAGCTCATGTTTGTTTCAATTGTTGAAACTGAAATTGCCCAAAGAAACATGAAAATAAAGGCAGGCACTAAAATTGGTATAAAGAAGATAATTCCAAATGCCAGAGAGGAAAATTTTATGAATCCAGATTGTAATGTTTCAAATGAACCCCCTTTTCAGATATATTATAAAAGATACAAAATCATTGAGACAACAAATAGGTCAAAACACTTCACTTGCTTTCCAATTATCATCAATTAAATGGTGGTACTAACCATTGTATAGAAGTTACTGAAAGCATTATAAAAGCATTCAGATGTGTTGCTTGATTAATCTCCATAACTCTAAAGTAGGCATAGAGCCTGAAAAAACAATTCTACTGAAGATAAAAGTGAATGCTTTTATAATTAGTTGCTATTGCTTAAAATATTGTTGTGTGTTCTTTATTACACCATAGATAATGAAAGTAGGCATAGAATTTACTCCCATAAGTCATTTTTTAATTTCTATGAAACTAAAAATGACTTTTGGCCTCTCAACATTTGCACACATTCGGATTGATAGCAAACCATTTATCAAGCGATTAGTTATAAGATCCTTACCTAAAAATAATGGGATCATGTTCTCAGAAACAATGTGTCCTTTTATGTAGAGGATTATCTTGATTTGGCTAAAAACTCTGCCTTAGTATTTAAACAATGTTATTTTTTACTTAAATAAATACTATGGTTAAAGTGTAAGAAAAGTTTTTTTAACAAAAATCTGTCTTTTTTAATCACATAAAATTGCTTTGCAGTCAAGCTTAAGAATATAAGACTATATTATTCAAAAGCAGTGAAGACCAAGCAGTGAATTGTCATATCATATAAGAGGACCATCTTTTTGGCTCTTTTCATCCACAAGATCAGATTCCTTATGGTTATTGCATTTATTGTTGGTATTCACTTAAAGCATTTTTTCCCTCAGTCACCTGAATGGATAAATATACAAGGATTCTCTTCATGAATAAGAATGACAATAGTTCTTAAAATGCTGTTGCCCCAAAATTAATGTGGATAGGACACATGTTCCGTAACCAGGAAACAAAGAATTCAGCCCAATTAGTCAGAAACTGTACTACAATTAAGTAGTATATAAGAACAGTGGATCTTGTCCGTAGGTTTTCCAAAAGAGAGATAGTTTCAAAACATTGAATCAATTGGAATTCAACTCTAGGGGGAAACTGTAATTTGTACTGCAGAACTATTAGCTTTTATTGTCTTTCCTTACATGGAAAACTAATGCATGCCTACTTTGATTTCACTGGGAAAATTGAGTAAATAAGCATATGATTACACTTTTTAAATATAATATCTTCTAAAGATTATTACAGCACAGTCCCATTATGAGATTATGAGAGCAGAATATAAATATTTCTGGTTCTGTTAGGTAACTTAAACTTCCCAGAGTTATATAATTTTAAATGTGAACAGAAGTATTTAAATGAATAGAAAGATAGGATCTTCAGTTTACGGACTATTAAAAATGGTTTGTGTGTACTTCTGACATCTCTGTATCATATCTGTTAAATGTTACTGTTCTACTTTCTTAGGCCTGGATCCATTGCAATAGATATTCAAATGTTTCTACATCTGTAACGGTAAAAAAATACTGAATATTTTTCCTTAATTGGCAAGGAAACGTTTGAATCCATGTTATAGAACATATAGAATTTAATTAGTTGTTAATAGTCACAATTATCTCTTCAATCATTTAATTGGGTTTTTACCTTTTTATGGTACTCTAATTGATTTGTCAGTTACCTTCAGGTAGGAACTTAAAGGTATTTCATTACTTACATGATACCTTAAGGGCGTCTACCCATTGTCCCATTTATTAGACTGTTAGCTCTTTCCACAGTAAGACATACCACCCCACCCTTTATAAATATAAAATATATTTGAAGGTGAATAATACAATAATAAGGTTATGCTAAAATACACATTGCCCTGATATTGGCCCTAAAAGCATTATGATATATATATTTTTCTTGACTAATCAAGTATTGCCTCTTGTTGAAATCTTTATAATATGTTCAGATGATCAGGTGGCTAACTGGATTTATTCTACATTTCATATTACATATTATACAGGTAGTCTTCAACTTGATTATGTCACCATGCAAGGATCATTATTCTGACATGACTGCTGTTGGGTATAGAACTGTTACCTAGTCAAAATTTCCTATATAGTACTTGCTTTATTAAATGTAAATATGTGTTATATGTATATCACATAATACTTTCTGTACTTCTGTTAGAACATCATGTCACTTGATGTTTTAAGTAGTTCATCTGAGTGGATTCATCTCTATAGCTAAGATGAATTGATATTCTCACCAAATGTTTGAATAATAATTATAATTAATATTCTTCTCAGAATTTAAACATGTGAAACTTCCTTTTATATAGGATTTAAAATATGAAGATATTTTCCAAGATGGAAAGTTCATTAGAAAATTTTCTGAAGTATTGCAAAGGTATGAATATTTGGGCATAGTTCCGATATAATAATCCTGTATATAATATAATAGGAAATATATGATAAAGAAAGTAAACATTAAATGGAAATTAGAGTTGAGCTCAATATATTACAGATCATTGAAAGAGTATGAGTAGTTCTGCAGTAGTTAGTTAGCTAGAGGAAATGTTGCATAGGGTGATTTTTATATTTTAAAAACAGGTGTTTTGTTTTGTCTATATATCAGTACTAAGATAGTGTGAAAAAATTGATAGCAATTACTGTTTTTCCCAGAAAATTCTGATTTTGAATCAGAACCACTTGAGAAGATTAGTGTTAAATATTTTGACAAAACAAAGATAGTGACTGAAACAAATCTGTGAAAATTATACAATTGGAACAAGCTATGTTATATTTATAAATTTAAAATGTGAATCACTACATTTATTTGTTTAAAACCTTTACTTCTATCTGTTGCCTATATAATTTACCAATACACAACAAGCACCAGCTGTTTTCTGTTCTTAGAGCAGGTATTGAAAAAGACATAAATCTTTTGATCTATATCCCCTGCAGACCCTTTTTTTAAATGATCCAAAGCTTGAAAAGACATTCTTATCAAAGACTAACAATTAAAAATTTATCCATGTCTAATTTTAAAAAAAGTACTATGGTCTGAGCACAAACCCAAATAAAAATACATCCCTCCTGAAAAATATATTGTTATGATTGTTATATTTATATCACACCTTTGTTCCATGAGATCAAAGAGAATGAATTTGGTGGAGAAATTATTTCACTCACATGTTTCTCCTTGAATTACCAACTCATTATTTCCACTAATTTTATTGAATTGCTCTCTCTCAGCCAGACAGTTCACTATTCTCGAACTTCTAGCTATGTGAACCAAAAAGAAAAATGTTGTATCCCTAAAAGAGATCAAATGGGGTAATGAAAACTGTTTACCTTCATAATTGTGTAATAGCTGCTAATAAAGGCAATAGATACAGTAGTTTAAAAGTAATAAAATCCACAACAAAGTGTATTTAATTTTAAATTGAATTGCAAGCAAATGGGTGTCCTAATGAACCCCTGTGTCAATGCAGCTCTAACCAAATTAAGTGAAATAATTTCCATCATGAGCAAACTAAATAAGTACAAAGTTTCAAACCGACCATTCTTCCTGGGAAAAGAGGTTTTCGTGGATGATTCAACTGCAGGAATTAGATAAGAAAGTTCACAATAGAAGTTGCCTCTGCTCCAGTTTTAGGGCAATTAGATTAAGCTTTGTTTAACCTTCAGGTCAAGGAAGAAAAGGATGCTCCAGAATCCTAGGTTGTTTATTTTGGGCAGTGTTTCCCTCACTTCAGATAGCCATCGCCTGCCTCTTACCTTACCATTTGGGGCACACTTCACTTTTACTCTTGTACACTTTTAATTTTAGTTTATGTAATCATATCACTTTCAGAGACAGTCTTTTTCTGACAGCTGATAATTTGGGGATTGGGTTTGATTGATCCGGGGAAATCCTGGATCAATCTAAGCACCAGACTAGTAAGTGAGATCTAAGTTCTATACTAGTCTTACCATGGCTTCTGGATAATATTTAATATAATATATTACTTCACATAGTAGAATCATGGCAAAGCTTTCTTGATTTGGTAAGATAAATGTATTATTGTAAGAATGGTCTCATATCTGATGATAATATATCCATGACACGGAGGAAGTTTTCCATGCCAATTTCATCACAATTAATCCTCACAAGAGGGAGCAGTGTAAAATGGAAGTCATGCTTAAGCACTCATTAACCATGTGATTGCAATTACATGACAGGGCTATATTTTTTAACTCAGTCAACTGTGGTATAACTCTTATCGGCTCCAGCTCCTCTGCCATATAATTGTGCTGAAGCACCTCCAGCAGGCAGACTTTTGCATGGCTATAAACTTTCCAGGTAATTTAAACTTCAGTTCTAAATGGAATATTGAACTTACAGGAAAATAGTACAATGTACAGTGAATCACATAAGCATGGTCAAGATGCCCATTCAGTTTATGAGGGGTGGGAGTGTTATTTATTATATTTTATCCCACCATTACTTTTTATCAACTCAAAGCAACATAAATATCTAATTGTTTGTCAAGTACTGAGGAAATCAGGAAATTCAGGCCGTTCAAATGAGTTTAAAGATTCATTGCAAGCTTAAGCTCTCTACAAGACTCTTATATGAACTGGAGATAAGGACATTCAAGGTAGGCTGGACTTACATCTTGTATGGGCACCCAGAGATTCATGACATATGATAAGTTTGATCCCCTCCCTCAAGCTCAGCCTGGTCATCTCCTACATTGTCTTGGTTACTATTTTTGACCAGGCCCAGCTCAAGAACAATATAGAAAAATCCAGCCAAAGTTCACTTCTTTGTTTGCTTATACCCTATATGCAGAACCTTGCCAAACTAAATGTATACTACTGAAATCCGAATGGATATACCCTGGAGGATTCAAAGGAGTGGCTCTCTTAAATATCTGTCTCCAATCCATCTTGGGCTATGTTGTCGATTGTCTCTCTCCTCCCCGCCCACCCCCACCCAGGAATGTGCTCTTTCCTTTCTTGGAATCTGCCTCTTCACTCATCACCACCTTCTCCTTTGTAGACACAATCCATCATATCTTGCCATAATGTCCCTATGAAGTGGGTTGGGCCAAGAAAAAGTGACAGGCCCAAAGTGACGGATCTGTTATCCATGCTCTTAATCCTGCAAGAACTCAAGGTCTCCTGGTTTCTAGCCCATCACAACCCTGAAGTGGATCTCAGTACCTTCTGAGATCATAGGGAAAGGCCTTGAAGAAAGGAAGTGATCAGCCCAGCATGGCTTAAATCCATTCCAAGAAATCACTTGAGAAAACACCTCAGACCATCCCTATCCAAGTCATGCCAATGTGGGATTATTATTCTTATTTTGTTCCCATGGAAGAAAAAGAGAAAGAAAAGGGAATGGTAGAAGGGGCTGCTTTCCAACCTTCCTTTTAAAGAAGAGCTTGGACAACCATTTGTCTGAAATGGTATAGGGTTTTCTGCCTGAGCAGGAGGCTGGACTAGAAGACCTCTAAGGTCCCTTCCAACTCTGTTATTCTGTTGTAACTATGCATGTGAAAGGCCCAGCTGCTCATGGCATGTGTTATTGGTACACAAAGGTAAATTTAATGCCTGGGAAAGTAGAAGGCTGCATCATATGTGTTAGGGATAACATTGTTTACCCTAACTGGTTTGGGTAAAAATAATAAATATGGTATCATGGTTTGTTAGTTAAAGTGTGTGTAACTTTAACTGCAAGAATGTAATTAAGGGTGTGGTTGTAAAAGCACTATATAAGAAGCGAGACGATTGCAGCTCGCTCTCTCTGGCTTACTGATCCCTAATTACTGGAAGGATTGATGACTGTGTTCTTGCCGGAACGGGGAGAGAAGAAGGAGTGTTGATTTTTCTCAACAGAGAGAATATAAAGATTGGACTGATTTATTGTAAGTGAACTGACATTGGCTATTCAACACGGACTTTGCAAATAGAGTATCCCCGATAAGACTTGAGTGAAATTGATATATGACTAATGGACCGTTACATTTGACTATGCTATAATTCTTAAATGGAATAAACTATATTTTGATAGCACAAGTGTATCTGTATTTTTACTGCGTGTTAACTAGAAAACTTATCTCACACATTTACCTGTCTTCCTATCTGACTTCGCTGTACGTTCTGTTTAGTTAGTTTTCCTTAACACCCGTTGGGGAATCCAGGCTTAACACTGGTTATGGGCCCAGAGAGACTGCAAAGTCAGTTTAACTAGAATAAAAAACAGGTTTATGTAAAAAGTGAGATTTTGTGTTGTTACACGTTACAGTAAACAGACAGCTGTGTTTTATCAATTATAGTTTTATATCCATATAGTGAAACATGGCACAAGTCAGTCTACAAAGTTTGTCCCTTATATCCAAGCTGGATGGCACAAACTATGTTTCATGGTCTATGAAATGTAGTCTACTTCTACGAAGAGAAGGTCTGTGGAACATAATTGAAAACCCACCAAACGTAGAGGAATGGGATTCTGAAGATGAGGAAGATAGTAAAAAGATAGAAGAATTTAAACAGAAAAATGAACAAGCTCTTTGCATCATAGGACTAACATTAACTGATCAGCAACTTGTTCATATACGTGGAGAGCAAACTGCTGTTGGGTGTTGGCAAAAACTGAGGAAGATTTATGTCCGAGATAAATTTGTGCTCACATAAATCTAACACGGAAGCTTTTCCGCACGTATCTCCAAAAGAATGGTGATATGCTGAGTCATTTAAATACTATGAAAAGCATTTTTCAAGAACTTAATGAGAAGGAGTTAATTTTCTCTGAACTACACCAGGTCTACATAATTCTATCTTCATTAGATGAAAGTTTTGATGACTACGTAACTTCCCTTGAAATATTGCCTAAAGAAAGCCTAACTTTAACTGATATCACTGGCAGATTGATTGAAGAGGCCAGAAGAAGGCTTGAAAGAGATCAGTTAAGGAGGGAGCAACCTCAAAAGGAAAATAATGAATCTCCTACTGCATACGCAATTAAAAAGTGTTTTAATTGTGGAGGGAGAGGACATTTGGCAAGATTTTGTAAGAAGCCAAAGCGCCAGAATGCAAGCCAGAATACTGGAAGCCAACAAAGAAGAAATAAGAATTATGAGTTAGCAATGTATAGTAATGGAGTTGTAAAAAATAATTTATGGGTGGTTGACAGTGGTGCGTCCCACTGTATTACAAATGATAACAAAAAATTTGTAAAAATGTCCATGAGTTCACAGCATATCTCATTGGCAAACGGATGGAAAATGAAGGCAAAAGGTGAAGGTATTGCTCATTGTTCTAGTATAAATGAGAACATAAAAATGTTATATGTACCTCAACTTAAATTTAATTTGCTTTCAGTTAGAATGTTGGTTAGATTAGGATACATAGTTACCTTTAAGGGAGATACTTGTTTAATTGAAAAAGAAGGTAAGAAAATTACTGCATCTTTAAGAGGTGACTTATATGTGTTAAATGAAAATGGTTTAGAAGTGGCTAACACGATTTATGATAATAAGAAACCTCATAATGAATGTATTCACTTGTTACACCGACGGCTAGGTCATTTAAATTTTAAAATGATTAAGAGAACTGTTCAACTATCTAAAGGAATAAGTTTGAAATCTTGTAATAAGTATTTGCAATGTTCTGCTTGTAATCAAAACAAAAGCAAAGTTATACCGGCAAATAGAGTTGATGGATTTACTACCAAAGAGCCTTTAGAGGTAGTATTTGCTGATATAATAGGTCCTAAAAAGCCAAGTGTAGGTGGTGCTAGATACATATTAAGCATAATGGACCACTATTCTAGGTATGGTTTCTGTTTTCTAATGAAGAGAAAAACTGAAACGTATACAAATTTCTTTAATTGGTTAAAATTTGCAGAGAGAAAAACTAAAAAGAAATTAGTAACTCTTATAACAGATAATGGTGCGGAATTTACAAATAATAAATTCCAGAATAGATTTAGAATGGCAGGTATTCAACATAAAAAGTCTGCACCATATAGGCCTCAACATAATGCATTTATAGAGAGACGAGGCCAAACACTGCAATCAATGGGAAGAACAATGTTATCTGATTCTGGATTACCTGACAATTTGTGGGGAGAAGCTATAATGTGTGGTAATCACATATTAAACAATGTTGTTAATTCAACAACAGGTGAATTACCATTCACACTGTGGCATGGTAGGAAACCTGATTTGAGTTATATTCACACATTTGGTGCACCAGCATGGGTGCATATCCCTACACAACTCAGGCACAAAGGACAACGTAGAGCTAAAAGATTAATTTTTGTTGGATATCAAGCAAATCATAGATCTTATAGATTCTGGGAACCAGGTACATCTAGAGTATACTGCAGTGCTAGTGCACAATTCCTAGAACATATAGGATGGAATAGATTAGAGCAGGATTCAGATAATGATGTTATTATAGAACCTTTCAAGAGGCAGAAAGAAAAGACTAGTTATAAGAAAAGTCCAATTAAAGAAGAAATCCATGAAGAGCAAATAGAATCAGATCAAGAGGAAATAATTGATCAAGAAGAGATAGATAGTCAAGAACAGGAAATAAAGGAAAGTCCACCTGTAAGTCCTGTTATACCTAGACGCACAACGCGTATAACTAAACCACCTGAAAGATATCAGGCAAGTATTGTTTGCCAAGTAAATAAAGTTCCAACTAGCATAGATGAACTTAAGATGTATCCTGCTAAGGATCAGGAGAATTGGAAAAAAGCAATGGAAAAAGAGTTAAATTCATTAAAGGAAATGAAAGTTTATGAAGAAACCAAATTACCTCCAGGAGAAAAATCCATTGGGTGCAAATGGATATTCAAAGTAAAGACTGGAAATAATGGGAAAGTAACTTATAAAGCTAGATTAGTAGCACAAGGATTTAACCAAAATGTATTTGATTATGATGAGGTATTTGCACCAAATCTTAAGGCTACAACTTTAAGACCAGCTTTAGTATGGGCAGCTAAGAATAATTATATAGTTAACCATTTAGACGTAGAAACTGCATATCTGCATGCACCATTGCAGCATACAATATATATGAAAAAACCGGTTGGTATAAATGATAATAAAGTAAATAGCAATGATTGTTGGAAACTCAAGAAGAGTTTATATGGATTGAAACAATCTGGCTATGAATGGAACCAATATATTGTGAAAGAATTAAACAATATAGGGTTTAAATCTGGTTTAGCAGATCCATGTATGTTTAAAAGAGAAAATAATGGAACGGTGTCATTGTTATTATTATTTACAGATGATATTGCTTTGATTACTAAGACCAATAATGAAGCTACTGAGATTATTTCATTATTAGCCAAAAGGATAAAATTAAAGCATTTAGGTGAAATTAAAAAGTATCTAGGATTGACAATTAAAAAAACCACAAAAGGATTTAAGATATCTCAAGAGGATAAAATTTGCCAATTAATTAAATTGTATAAAATGGAACTTTGTAAGCCTGCAAAGACTCCAATGAGTCAGGAAATTTGCAAAATTGATGCTCAAAGTCCCAAATTTGATAAGACCATATATCAATCTTTGATTGGTAGCTTATCATATATAAGCAATTGGTCAAGGCCAGATATAGCTTATAGTGTTAATCAGCTGGCACGATTTAATACTGATCCACATCAATGTCATTGGCAAGCATTAAAGAGAATTTTAAGATATCTTAAAGGAACAATGCACCATGCATTGTATCTAGAGCCAAAAGGTGATTTGAATCTTAGTGCCTATGCAGATGCAAGTTTTGCAACTGACATAAATACTAGAAAATCAACATCTGGGATGGTTATATTATTTGGTAAGACACTAATAGGGTGGAGGTCAATCAGGCAACAGCATATTAGCTTGTCAACGATGGAAGCAGAATTTTCATGTCTGTCATTACTATGCACTGACTTAATTCTGTACAAACAGTTATTATTTGACATGGGTATAACTGTTAAAGATTCTATTATTGTGTACGAGGACAACCAGGCAGCCATACAGTTAGCTACTAATATTGCTGTAAAGACTAGATCAAAGCATACTGATTTAAGATACTTAAATGTTAGAGAATCTGTTAAAAATGGTCTAATTAAACTTGAGTACTGCATGACGGAAGAAAATATTGCAGACTAGTTTACAAAAGCTCAGGGTGTTGTAAAATTTAAAGAGAGTTGTGACAATTATGATTTAAAGGTGTAAATGGTTATATTATTGTAATATTATTATTATTACCCCAAAGGGGAGAATGTTAGGGATAACATTGTTTACCCTAACTGGTTTGGGTAAAAATAATAAATATGGTATCATGGTTTGTTAGTTAAAGTGTGTGTAACTTTAACTGCAAGAATGTAATTAAGGGTGTGGTTGTAAAAGCACTATATAAGAAGCGAGACGATTGCAGCTCGCTCTCTCTGGCTTACTGATCCCTAATTACTGGAAGGATTGATGACTGTGTTCTTGCCGGAACGGGGAGAGAAGAAGGAGTGTTGATTTTTCTCAACGGAGAGAATATAAAGATTGGACTGATTTATTGTAAGTGAACTGACATTGGCTATTCAACACGGACTTTGCAAATAGAGTATCCCCGATAAGACTTGACTGAAATTGATATATGACTAATGGACCGTTACATTTGACTATGCTATAATTCTTAAATGGAATAAACTATATTTTTGATAGCACAAGTGTATCTGTATTTTTACTGCGTGTTAACTAGAAAACTTATCTCACACATTTACCTGTCTTCCCATCTGACTTCGCTGTACGTTCTGTTTAGTTTGTTTTCCTTAACACCCGTTGGGGAATCCAGGCTTAACACTATGTATTCTCCAAATTTATTTATTTATTTTAGCAATTTATAATACTGCCCAATTATATAATAACCCTGGGCAATATAGAGTAAAAATAAACAATTAAAACAAACAGCAACAATCCCGTCCCAGTCCAGAAAGAAAAACAACCATTAAAGGGTTTAAATTAAACTCATCTCATTGTTTCTGTGGTTCTTCTTCTTTTTAGAATCTTTATATCACAATTACAGGCTTCATTTGCATTCATCCAAATGTTTAGAAATTACCAGAAAAAAGTATTCCCCCAAAAACAATTTTAAAAATAAAACCCGAGTTTGAAATATTACAAATAATTGCCTTGATACAATGGCTCTGTTTAAACATACCTTATTGCTAATTGAAACCTAGGTTTCTGAATTAAATTTCTTTTTTTAAAAAAAGCTGTTTCTTCATATAATGTTTCTATCAATTAGGGTGTTCATTCAT